ACTAATTATAACGGCTATAGATCAATCGAAAAACGTGTATCCTACTTGATGAACAGCATACCTGCAAGCATTAGGAATGAGCCAAAGTTTCAAGATTGTTTAAGGAATTCCCTTTACTTGTAGATCATGTGTGAGAATGTAACCTAGATATACATGCAATGTACTATAGATGTAGTGAGAATCAATTTTGTTCACACAGACAAACAGCGAAAGTTGTTTTGTAAGGCACTGTTTAACCTCAAATCACACATCACATCAACAGCCTTTAATAGTCCACTGCTGGACATAGGCGTCTCCTTAGAAAGGAGGTTTTGGCCTACTATACCACGCTGGCCAGACGGGTTTTTATAGGGTTTGTTTCAAGTTTTCCTACTTTTGCAGTGCTGGTTTCCTGCGTTATTTTGCGCCCTTAGTCGGCTCTTACGACACCCACGGGATGAATTGGGGTAGTGACATTCCGTATTCTTAATCCGTCACTACATGGACCTGTTTAACCTACTAGACTAAAATGTAGGCTTAGTAATATAATAAATAAAAATAAACCCTTGCAATGAAACGGACACAAAGAACACCCAGACTCAGAACAACACAAAATATAATAAATATCCTGTGTCGCCGAAGACTTTACACACATACATGAAACTAACATATCAGAAAGTAATTTGTGGATCGCACAAAGAGTTGTCCCATGTGGGGTTGGAACCCCCAACACTCAGCGCAGTAGGAAGCGGCAAAGTGACTGCTTAAACCACTACGCCATCCGGCAGTCTAAGACGGAAAACAGAACTGAGTCTGTAATAGCTCAAAAAATACGTGATCTAGTATCTATTATATGTCTGTCCTGAGAATTGAGACACTACAACAAGAACAGCCAACTTTAGAATTTTAATCTCTAGATGTCAGATTACGATCTTTATTGTGTCGAGTTGAAATGGCAAACGTAATTATGTAACATTTAAAACAAATAAGAAAGTTGTTATTAAATAATAATCTTAATATTATATAATGGACTGGCCTGTTGATCGTCTGTTCGAGTCCCGCCCAGGATGAATATTGTGAGATGAGCACGATTTTTCGTTCTGTGTCTTGTATGTATTTACTTATTTAGAAATATATAACGGATAGCGTAGTGGTTTAAGCGGTCGCCACGCCGCTTCCTACTACGCTGAGTGTTGTGGGTCCGATCCCCACATGGGACGACACTTTGTGTGATCCACAAATTGTTGTTTTGAGTCTGGGTGTTCTTTGTGTCAATTCATGCATGTTTGTAAAGTCCCCGCGACACAGGATACATTTCTAATGCGGGAGTTGTTTTTTTTTTAAATGAATAATGTTTATCTGCAGTCTAGTTAACATAGTACAGGCTCTGCCTAGTTTTGGATCAGACGGCCGTGTGTGAGATGTCTAAAGTTATTATTGTCATCAATTGCTCTCGAGTGTATAATAATATACTCCGTCTAATAAACGTGGGTAGTCACAGATAAAAGTATCAATATAAAAACTTAATTTACTCTTAGAACCTGATCGTTCATTGTCGAACGAAATTGATTCATACAATCACCCGCCTACACGAAACGCATTTCCTTAAATGATTACAAGTCATAACCCACCTTTTAAGGCCGACGGCAAAGTTCCCGTTATAAATCCTTATGATGTTGATTGATGCTGAAGACGTCTGAAGGCGTCTGAAGGCTTGTAGTTGAATAGGGCATAAGAATTTATTAGCTTTGGGCTTTGGTCTCACAGCAAGCGAGTAGCAATTTACTATTTAAATGTGCAGTGGTTTAGGTTGAAACTAAAACGTAGTATTCATCACATCAACAGCCTTTAGTCCACGGCTGGACATATGCCTCTCCTTAGAAAAGAGGTATTGGCCTACTATTGGGTTGGTATAGGGTTTGTGTCAAGTATTCCTTCTTTTTGTAGTGCTGATTTGTCGTGTGTTGTTTAGCGCCCTTAGTCAGCTCTTACGACACCCACGGTATAAATTGGGGTAGTGACATTCCGTATTCTTAATCCTTCATTACACGGAACGTAGTATTACTAACTACTAAAGGTTATGAAAAGAGTCATAACTTTTAATGTACCCAACTCATGATGTATTATTGTAATCTGTGTGTAATCTGTATGTATCTGTGTGAAAAATACAGCTAATTACAATTATTTGCCAAAACTAGAATATTTTCTTCCGATTTCAATGAGAGGAGCCTTAAGAATAAACTAATATAATTTTAAAAAGATTTATTGTAATCGTGGCTAGCGTGGTATAGTAGGCCATAACCTCCTTTCTAAGGAGAGGCCTATGTCCAGCAGTGGACTATTAAAGGTGATGATGATTGCAATCGGTTCACAAACGCCATATCGGGTAACGCAACATAGACAAAAATATTAAGCAGAATTAAGAATCTTCTCCTTTCGATGTAATGATGGTAAAAAAAATAAGTGTATTAATTCTGGTTTTAGAACCCTCATCGCAGTTTTTACTTAGTTACGGTCTATGTAATGCTTTTTATAAAGTCATTATTATTATTTTTAGCCTGTGTTTTACCACTGCAGGGCAAAAGCCTCTCTCTTCCTTCCACATATCCCTGTCATGTGCTAGTTGGGCCAGTCTTTTCGGAAATCGTCTAGACCGTCCCACCTTCGTCGCCTTGGCGTTTAGCACCTTATGTGCCCAAAGTTGTTTTGATTTTCAAAATTAAAAAGAACATACAATACAAACATACCTAACAATTTCGGTTCACTTATCCGCTGTTTTGTGTTCAATGTGACAAGTGCCTTACCTTTATACGATCGTATTTATTAATTAGTATTACGATTATGAGCAGGTCGTGCACCATCACATCCATAGAGCACAAAGATAAATCACTTTATGTTGGCTCACCAGGCCCGAGGACGGGTTAGGTACGCCATCAGCGCCTCCATAAGCGCAGGCCTGAGGGTGACAGGTGAGGCCATCTGTCACTCTAGCAGAAGCAGGCAGGGGTGGGTGCGCGCACGCCCTTCGGGGCAGGAAGGGAACATCCGGGTTCCCACACTGGAGGGGTCATCTATAAACCGTAGAGGTATGTCGGGGTACCAGGCCTTTCCCTTCTAGGGTATACCTGGTTCCCCGGCTACTGGTACGGCTTGCGGTTTTTGGTCGGTTCGAGTCCGACAGAATCACTGGTGGGCGGTATCCGAGAGGAGTTCCGCACGAAAAAAAAATGTACAGAAAAAATTAAAAAGTTATCATATTTTACTACAGCGCAACAATAGTTTCTTTGGTTAATCGCACTAATCTCAGGAACTACTGGTTCAAATTGAAAAAATCTTTTAGTGTTGGTTAACCCATTAGTTGAGGAATGGTATATAACATCATGCTACGACCAATCAGAGCAGAGCATTAATAAAAATGTTGCAAAAACGGGCAACAAATTATTCCTTTTGAGCCGTTGCGCTGGTCAGCCACTTGATTATCATCATCATCATCATCAACAGCCATTACTAGTCCACTGCTGGACATAGGCCTCTCCTTAGAAAGGAGGGTTTGGCCTACTATACCACGCTGGCCAGACGGGTTGGTATAGGGTTTGTTTCAAGTTTTCCTTCTCTTTGCAGTGCTGTTGCTCTGCGTAGTTTGTTCCCTTAGTCGCCTCTTACGACACCCACGGGATGAATAAGGGTGATGACATTCCGTATTATTAATACGCCACCACACGGACAGTTGATTATATTATTATTTAGAAATACCATCATCACTGTCACCTATTTTTGTACCCTAGTCAACTTGTTGTTTAGATAAATAACATTTTACTATTAATATTTTGTATAATTTGTAATAAAAGATAAAGTATCATTGGTAAAATATTAGCATTTACTAAAGTTCTTTCGAAAACGAATCAAAGCATAATTGTGTTTGATATTTTTTTATTAATAACTGGTCTCTATATATCAGTGACATTTGCATAAGCAATCCAACATAAATTAAAACAGAATTGTATTTAATCTAGTATTTATTATTTTAAAATATATATTATTATGAACTACAGAAAACTAATATAGAATAATGTTTATTTACACGCTCTACTGATGTTAATTAAATTTAATATTAAGGCTAATTTAATACCCGTTTAAGTGGATAAGGGTTGTCAAACGGGGTGTCGACACGACAACTAATGGGCTGGGAAGCAAAACTGGGGATAAAAATACACGCACGAGTAACATCACCGTATGTGTGCATGCAAAACGGAACCAGAAAGAAAAAAATAAATAAAAATCCTTATTCTAAGTCTCGTTACGAAAACTAATATTATAAATGCGAATTTTAGCTTTTTTGTTAATTACTTAACTGTTTTTTTAACAACTCAACCGATAACCATGAATTTTTTGCATATGTGTACGTGGTCATGGCCACATAAAACTATTTGTGGTACTTTGATGATTCCTGAATTTACTGACAAAATCTACACCAAACAGGTGCGTCTTAGCCAAAGGATATATAACCTAAAATCTTCCTTAAGAATTTACTACTTGTCAAATTTTAAGCAACCTTTTAATATACACCCAGTAGGTATTTCCAGATAATCAGAAAAAAGAAAGTGTTTTTTTAATGGACTTCAAATAGATCAGATTCCCAATCTGGTTATGTTTTTTTTTATATTTTGTTCTGAACTACCTACCTCATTTATACACCGATTTGGTAATTTTTTTTTTTATATACCTACATATTATTGGTAGATACGTAAGAACAGTACATGAATACCACCGTGACAATATCCATGTATAGAGACGTGGAATGATTCCATTTTAGAATTGATAAGCGTCTCGTGTGCTGTGAAGTTGGCAGCATTGTCGACCAATCACAACGCAGCGCCAGACCGCAGAGCGGAGGCGAATCGTGCCTCAAAAATCCCCACCGAGCCGGCCGGCTGATCAAATCTACGAAGTTGTGTTGTGCGAGAGTCGCGTATAGTGTTAAGTTATTTATTACGAATAATATTTTATTTTAATAAATCAAAATGAGGGAAATCGTGCATCTCCAAGCCGGTCAGTGCGGTAACCAGATTGGAGCTAAGGTATGTAACAAGAAGTATTGTTTGGATTCACCGACAATAACGGTCACTAACGGTTCTTTATTATTTCAACCGCTAGATAATCCAATTGAATTTCTAAGTAGCCTTGTTGCTGTACAATTAAATAAACGCTAGTTAAGTAATTTCTGTATCAAAAAAAGAACGAGGTTGGATTAATAATGTCGTGTTCTTGCATAGTTCCATTCAAAAATTTGACATAGACAATAGGTTATTTTTACGCATGAACTGGCATGCAGGTTTTAATATCACCCCTAACAGATCGATTTGATATTTATTATCACTATGAGGTCGTGAATAAATAAATTTGGTAAGTATTTTTATCTAAAGGCCACGTAAGATAATGTCATTGGTTCAGATACGCACGAAAAAACTAACTAATAGGTAAAACTAACTATAGATTTGACTTTTAAATAACTTGCTTGGAGACATAGTGATTTCAGTTTTAACTTTAAAAGATTAGATTTAAATTTGGAATTTATTTGAAAATCTGGTTTTAGGTAGGCAGGGCTACATTTGTACTCTAAGCGGTTTATTCTTTCCTAGTATATTAGAGTTGATTTCTAGAACAGGTATTTAGGTATTCTTTTGATTCTAAATTAGCATACCGTCACATACCGGTAGCCGAATGCATAAAAAAACAGCTAATTAACTGCACTCTTTAAATAAAGCTAATTAATTATTTTTACTGTTATTCTAATGAGTCTGTGGTCTCTGAAGGGTTAATTTGAATTTATTTCAAAAGTTTCATAATACTTTCTAATTGTTTAAAATGGAATTATTTATAAAAAATGGCGAACATTTTTGTGGATGATGATGATGTACTGGTGGATGGTAAAGATTTTGATGTAATAATAAATTACTTTAAGATGCATGTTCTACAGTTTCCAGTGAGTCACAATTTCTGATATTCGCCTTTTGGTTGATATTCTTCTCCATATTAAAAGCGCGTCCCTGTCCTGGTGGCCTTTTGAATTACAGCATTAACTCTTCAAACTACTGCAGTCCCCGTCTAGTTTCTCATGAGATTCAAAAATTTTACCTTCTTCATTACAAAGTATTACAATAACTTACATTTTTTATACAATAGTTATAAAAATTAGTAAATTGTCACGGTTGATAGATAAAGACCGAAGGTCGAACATTAAACCAATGAAATATATTAAAAAAGTCATAATTTTGTAGCTATATCACACAATTATATAACTACAAAGTCAGGTATCTGATATCAACTCATATGTAAATATGCGTGGTGTAATTTGATTGGAGAATCTCCGGTTTAACAACAAATAAACATAAAAAACTGGTCCATATCTATAATTATTAGACTACTCAAAATATTACAACCGGTTTCTTGTTTTGATGTCGTTATTCTTTAATAATCTCTTTTGATTTGCAAATAAAACTCGTAACAGAAGATTTCCATATTAATTAATTGTCAATTTTATATATTATTGGCTCAAATATCACATATAGTCACCTATGCCGCAATAATTATGGCTGAATTAACAGAACTAGAGATTTTAATCCGATAACCTAATGAAGTCCGACCTACATACCTCTTTAATCTTGCATTGCAAATTATCTGCAATTAGATACTTACTTTTCTATTAAAGAAGTGAGTGAAACTTACAACACACTCGCCGTTCATTGGTAGTGCATGAATAACTGACGGTCTATCGCGTTTATAGACATTTCGTGTCACACTTTTATTTCAATCCATTTTGTTCTAGATTTGACCAGTTGATTGAAATTACAGCTGTGTCATCAATACGCTTGGCCGAACAGAATGATTCTTATATTGAGGTCAATTAAAAAATATAAATCTTCTTGTCTTTGGTTATGTCAATCTTAAATTATACGAATGAATTTAAAAACTTGTTGATTGAATTTAATTGTTTATGTGCATTATTATATTTTTTTGTCGAGTCTCTTTCTGAGTACCTAAATCTATTCATGCATTGTTAAAGGAACTGCAATAATACTAACACATCTATAAGATTGAAAACAGATTTAAAAAAAAACTTAAAAGAACATTCGTAAGAGATCAATTCGGTAGTGTTTATGAACAAAACCCTTTCAAGAAGTAAGCAATAAGCTTAATGTATACCCATCAAAGTCTCACATCTGATACACGTATACTCGTACTTAGACATATTGTTATTGATCGAAGGCTATTTATGTCCGTAGCTCAGTTGTTACTCAGAAAATGAATCATGGAGTGGTATTTCATTCGAAACACAAGTAAATGTGTTAATCACACTGTGTTAACTCTGACTGCTTTAGATGGTACACGAATGACGCCATTTTGAAATGAGAACAATTTTTTTTTCAGTCATTCCATTTTTTAATAAAATATAAAAAGGTTGAGTTAGTCGCTTGTATGTATTGAAACATATTATTCTTCGATAAAATACAATGTTACCCGACTTAAAAAGAGGCCTTATGTGTAACTATGCCTTTGTTTGAATTCATAGAGGCGGCAATTTGGCCTGTTCACTAACCGAGAAAATTGCAGCATAGTAAAAAAATACTATACTGACCTTTTTGTCTACTTAAACACAGACGGTGATTCATTTGAAAATTAGTCACTAATTTAACTGATATTTTCATCGCAACTTATATTTATTTAACTTTTAGGAGAATTGTATGTATGTGAACGCCTATTCATTGAAGTTTTTTATCACTGAATTGTCTGTAAAAGGCCCATCCTACACCTTCCTTTCCAAGCCCTCATGAAGCCATTTTCAAATCTCGAATCAAAAGGTTTTAAATAAGTTGCCTAACTAATGTCACTCCAAGCAAGGTGGCCAGTGCGTATTATATTTAAAGAAAAAAGTATTACGTTCCAAAAATAAGAAAGTATAGGCCGCAATCAGAATCATTTTTAAAATTAGTTTTGAAAGAGATTGCTAAAGCAACAGAGACAAAGGGCTTTTAATCTGTTTTAAGTAGGGTTGAGTCTGTTTCTCCTCAGTCTTGATTGAACTCGCATCAAAAGTTATCTTATCAACGTTTGGCAATAGAGGCCATAGATTATAGAGTTCAACGCCCCGGCATCTGCCGGTCGATGCCCAGTTATAAATAGCGCCATGGTCCGCCATAGCTGCATGCAAAGTACCGTTAGCATATAAATGTAAAGCATGCATATCTGTAATGGATTTACTTCAGGAAATAACCAACTAAACGGCTGAAATTGATAGCCATAAATGTCGCCATGAAGTCTTTATTGCGTAAACAATCTGTGACAAAATATTCGCAATGTAAAAATCTTATGGTAGTAATCTTGCGAATAATTATCTAAAAAGTTCTAATTAAAAAGTATAAACTTGAAGCCTATATATGGCATCGAGGAGAAATTTACAAGAGGAATATTTTTAATGTGTATTACAATTCGGAATGTTAGTAACAAAGTATTATATGCATACAGATCAAAGACAGGGATTTTACGTTCTAAATAATTTGAATTTCGAACGTCTAACTGAGAGATACATAGACAAAACTGTGTAGGTGAAATCGTACACAATGGCTATAGTATTATGAGCATGCAACCATTACTCAGCCACCATAGTTTCCCTTCGTCTGTTCACACGATACTTTCAACTCGCCTACTCCATCGAGTTACTACGAAAGCAGCCTTTCTGCCTTTCCAAACGTCTGCCTTTCACTTTTCGCTGTTATTAAAAATCATTATAATGTCATCTTTGAAAGTCTTTATGAATTGATGCGTATTGTGAATTGCTTTTTTTAAGACAACTTTTTTTTTGCACATTATCTGTGGATATCATTGACTTACTTTTAGAAAATAGCTGTTAATTTTATTATTAATTTATGAAAGTAATAATATTATTGTATATCCTGCTAGAAAACTCCATAAATACTAAATTACTTTTAAGATAGATTAATAAAACTATTACAATTTTGGTAATAACAACCACTAAAGGTATTTTATTGCTACAACTCCTAAAACGTAAATTGATTCATTACAAAAATATTTACATTTAAATATGGACGCGAGAGTTAATTTAAACATCGACACTAAATAAATAAGACTTGAAGCTAAACCCTGAACCAAAAACGCCACCATCTTAGTCATATTACCATATATGTACATTTTGAATGTACCCACACAGAGTCGGATGACATCACTACGTCGGCGTGCGCGCACAAATGAATTTTAATGTACGAACAGCACACAAGTTCCACATACAAACTTGTGTTGCTAAGTACAGTTTTCACCAATTGCGTAATCGCTACACACCCACACAGACACATATATGACGCCTTTAAGTTTTAGTAAAGCCTTCAGGCACATAAAACATGTCTTCTATTTCTAAACATTAAATCTACAGGTGTGGCAATTACGTCACATTTCAATACTACCAACATTAAAAAGGAACACGAGATGATTTCATTATGTCACCGACCGTATAGTAAGAACTTAAATTCGGACGCCAATTTCAATCGAATTTTTGAGGTACTCGCTTATAAGGCGAGATAAACCAAATACGAAAGGACCGTGGGCGTTGGCCGCCATCAAGGCGAGCCATTGTGCACGTCGTCATAACTCATGCCATTGTCTTGCGTAACCCTTCCCGAAGCATTCATTAACGATGTATTATGCATCCTGTCTACATCTTACGATGCTCCATTGATCTTTTTAACCTTTACAATCTCTTATTTGAATTGAATCACGAAAATATTCATTAAACTAGACTAGAACACGCAAGGGACGGGCTTTCCTGCGGTATCGGAGTAACAAAACCGGTTGGAAAGCGCCGTGGCTCAGTCTACTTACAAATTACATGCCAAGAACTTTCGTGTAGGCATTCCATTGCAATGCTTTCGATCGGCTAACGGTAATGCTTTTGTTCCAGTTCTGGGAGATCATCTCCGATGAGCACGGCATCGACCCCACCGGTGCCTACCATGGAGACTCCGACCTGCAGCTGGAGCGCATCAACGTTTACTACAATGAGGCCTCCGGTGGCAAGTATGTCCCCCGCGCCATCCTCGTCGACCTTGAGCCCGGCACCATGGACTCGGTGCGCTCGGGACCCTTCGGACAGATATTCAGACCTGACAACTTCGTGTTTGGACAGTCCGGCGCCGGCAACAACTGGGCTAAGGGTCACTACACCGAAGGAGCAGAGCTTGTAGATTCAGTATTAGACGTCGTTCGCAAAGAAGCAGAGTCATGCGATTGTCTACAAGGATTCCAGCTCACACACTCACTCGGCGGCGGCACCGGTTCCGGTATGGGCACACTCCTTATCTCCAAAATCAGAGAAGAATACCCCGACAGAATCATGAACACATACTCAGTCGTCCCCTCGCCCAAAGTATCAGACACTGTCGTCGAACCCTACAATGCGACTCTCTCAGTCCATCAGCTCGTAGAAAACACAGACGAAACCTATTGTATCGACAACGAGGCCCTTTATGACATCTGCTTCCGCACGCTGAAACTGTCCACACCAACCTATGGCGATCTTAACCACTTAGTCTCCCTCACCATGTCCGGCGTCACAACCTGTCTGCGATTCCCTGGCCAATTGAATGCTGATCTCCGTAAATTGGCCGTCAACATGGTTCCTTTCCCACGTCTCCACTTCTTCATGCCTGGTTTCGCTCCCCTCACATCCCGTGGAAGCAGACAATACCGTGCCCTCACAGTACCCGAACTTACCCAACAGATGTTCGACGCTAAGAACATGATGGCGGCTTGTGACCCACGTCACGGCCGCTACCTAACCGTAGCCGCCATCTTCCGTGGACGTATGTCCATGAAGGAGGTGGACGAACAGATGCTCAACATCCAGAACAAGAACTCGTCGTACTTCGTAGAATGGATCCCCAACAACGTGAAGACCGCCGTGTGCGACATCCCACCCCGTGGTCTCAAGATGGCGGCTACGTTCATTGGCAACTCGACCGCTATCCAGGAGCTGTTCAAGCGCATCTCGGAACAGTTCACCGCTATGTTCAGGCGCAAGGCTTTCTTGCATTGGTACACCGGCGAGGGCATGGACGAGATGGAGTTCACCGAGGCCGAGAGCAACATGAACGATCTGGTGTCCGAATACCAGCAGTACCAGGAGGCTACTGCCGACGAGGACGCAGAGTTCGACGAGGAACAGGAGCAGGAAGTGGACGACCACTAGAAGGTGCGCTCGTAACGGAGCGATATATAGTACATTGCCATTACGTACACGTTACTTTTAATTTGAGTAACAATAATGATTCCTACAATGAGTATTGAATGAGAAGATATGCTTTCTAACTTTTAACAGAATGCACAACTAAAATCCCGGATAAGACATTTAAACATGACTCAAGGGCATATAATATTTATTATACATTCCTGTGATTCAATGCCCGGCTTCGTCAAAAACAAGATCTGATGATTTTCTAAGGCTGACAGACACTCTTTATATATTTATAATAAAGTTAGTATGTCTTGTAACTAGGGCATAAACATATTGAGTGCTTCAATAACCGAAGTTATACCTATTACGATTAAAATTACATTGTTTTCAACAATAATTTAATGTATATAATAAACATTTTTATTTATTAAACTGTTTTCTTTAATACTGCCAAGGTTGACAACACTTACGTCATAATTAAGTATAATCTTAATACAAGGTAATGAACGAGTTACCCTTTGAGAGCAAAATTTATTTAATGAAACAAACGTCCGGCTATAGAGTCCATTATAAGTATAATCCATAGATCAGATATTCTACTGTCTATGACTCAATATTACAACTTTATTGTGCCGACGCACGTAGGCAGACTACCAAAAACTGTATAAAAAAGAAATAAAACAGTCATTACTCAATTATTTTATCGTAAATACCTATAGATACGATAAATGTAAGCAACTTAGCAACAAAACAAGGCAAAACGCACCTGACATCATCGCCTTGTTCTAAATTTAGAAATGCACGGATCGTCCATCCATTTTGCTTAGACCTCTGTCAATTCCCGTTATAGACTCTATTTTGAGTAGTGAATAAATTGGAGGGGATTGTGAGGATTCAATTTAAATTGGTCAGGTGTTAACGGCATGATGTCATGTAATTTACAAACAAACAACTTATGTCATGTAGGTTTCTGTGACATTCGAATCATTTAGATTACGAGGTTATACTATTACAAACATGTACGTGACACATAGACAATATATAAACTTGTATTTTAACAAGAAATAGGTTAAGGTTTATATCAAAAACTAGCTGACCCGCGCAAATTCGTCTGCGTCTCTCAATAGTAATAAATTTTCTCCGTTTTTGAAACATTCTTCATTGGTGCTCCGCTCTTATTGGTCTTAGCGTGATGATATATAGCCTATAGCCTTCCTCGATAAATGGGCTATCTAACACTGAAAGAATTTTTCAATTCGGACCAGTAGTTCCTGAGATTAGCGCGTTCAAACAAACAAACAAACTCTTCAGCTTTATAATATTAGTATAGATATAGCTGTAATTCATAGTCAACAACATAGAGTTTTTAACCATAGGAAAAGGTAACATATACAGTCATTGGTTGTTGTTGAAAGTTAGTGTCAAAAAAGTCATTTTCATGAAATTTTAATCTCTTAATAACGTTACTTGAGAAGTAACATGCATAAATATCCTTTTATTTATTTCATTTTATATTTTATACACAAATGTGACAAAGGCGGACTTAATGCCGTAGGCATTTTCTTCCAGTCAACCTCAGGGCGATGCAAATAAGCAGTTATATTATCATGATGAAAAGAATACTTTTAAATGGTTTATTTATTGAAAAAAAAAAATAGAAATGGGTTACGAATTGCTTCATTAGTTTTAGTTTAGTAATTCGTGTTTATACTAAAATACTTAGTAAGCAAAACGTACTTAAATACACACAAAGAGTTTCTAATACTTGATAAATTCTCAAGAATAATAATATGCATTTAAGAGTTTTTATTGAGTATGCTCATTAAACAACAACACTAGAAATAGAGAAAGCAAGCCATACAGAGAAATGTATTTCAAGAAATCACATTTGCATATAACTTGAATGGTCCGTGTGGTGACGGATTAAAAATACAGAGTGTCACCATCCCTATTTATCCCGTGGGTGTCGTAAGAGCCGACTAAGGGAAAAAACTACGCAGAACAACACTGCAGAGAGAAGGAAAACTTGACACGAACCTTATACCAACCCGTCTGGCCAGCGTGGTATAGTAGGCCACTCATATGCCAGAGGCGGCAATGAAAGGCTGTTGATGATGATTGATGAGGTGGATACAGCAGCTGGAGATACTTAAAACTTTGTAGTTAGCGACTCGACAGTTAAGCTAAAGGATTTGGGTTAGATTATCACCCAGGACAAATATAACCCAGTCTCATTAACGTAATAAGGGGTTATTACGTTAATGGGACTGGAATTCGGCCAAATTTGTAAGTTAGAACCCCTTTGTCTACCCTTTTAGGTATTTGTGTTTGGATTCGAACCGATTAAAACCGCACGCCGTCTCAGGTGCCAATAGCCGGCGAACCAGTTGTAATCAACAAATAAAATCCCCTACAGACCCCGGGTCATTGCTTTAGATCAGATCATCCCTCGTGTGTGAAGACTACGATGTCCCCACCTGCCCCAAAAGTTGATGATGTGATGAAAATGAAATGAGTGTAAATCTAAAAGACTTGTTTTTCAGACTATAAGGTTCACCAGGCAGTTCAAGAGACTTCAGGGAACTGCATTTCATCGAATTTAGACAATTCAAGAGTTTTATTTATTATACCAAGGTGCGAATAAACAAATAACCCGTCTGATGATAGGCGGTTAGTAGTGCCTGTATTGTATCATAATGCCTCTAAATTTGATTTCGTTTCCTGTAATTGTGAGTAGATATTAAGTGTTACCATAGCTTATATTTACTTCCTAGATTATTCTTACTTCTATAGGCCGAATATCAAATTCGAACCATAGTCGTGAAAAAAAAAACAAAATGTTTATTTTCGCGCCTAATTAGACAATACTGTAAATATTAAATTGACATTCAACACCAATTAGGTCATAGTTCGCGGACTATTATGTATAACATGCATTTATGTTTTAATTTTATTATTGTAATTTATCGATGTTTCGAGAAATTGTTTTATATTATAGGTGATGCATAGTTAAATATATGAGTAGATAAAATAACACATGTAACTATCGGTCTATATTTTATGGACGAGTATAAAATCTATTATTTATTAGTATACCTAATCTTGGTGCGAACTCAATAAACAAACTGATGATCACTTTATAACTGTTTGAAATTGTATTTCTCTTTTTCATACCAAATCACTAGTCGTCGTACCTATACTAAATTCTTACAACGGCAACTTTAGTCACACTGATATTTTTGTAATTAGTGTGAGCGTTTACAGAAACCTAGTAATGAGGGAACTGCATGACACTATGAAGTAATATGTTTATAATACATAATATTGAGAAATGTACATTTGTCTGAAATACTCTCAACCTGCTAAAAATTGTGTATACAATTAGCAAAAATGTATAGCTTAAAACTCTATTGTAACCATTTATTATTGTGATATTGTTTGTTTACCCAATAAACTAAAAAAAAAACCATTGCCTTTTACATAATTAACATCCGTACATTTATCCGTAAACGGATTTTAACACAACTCATTTTTCAGTTTCGCAACGGAGGTCACTTGGAGGTCAATAATTACTTTTTTGGAGATATAAACGTTTACCTACTTAATTAAATCTCAACCCAAGTTAAATAAATACCTCCAATACAAGGTTGAAAAACAAAATTTAACATATTAATAAAAGCTTTTACTGTGGTAATCGTTTTTCCAAACACACCACAGAAATATCAATGACTGTTAACTATATGTGTATTCGTTCAGCAATTTTTAACTATACATAATTGTTTGGTTATGACTTTGAATTTTAAATAACACTTGTCTTACAATTACTTAGCTCTGTTTTAATTTATATTCATCTTGAAAACTGAATGTTCATTGTAGTACTTTAAATAAAACAAATATAAAAACATGGCGGCACAACTTTTGGGTGGGCGAAAAAATAAATTCAAACATTATTCATCTTTCAGATTTTTACAAAAAAAATAACTTTTCGCCTTTATTACTCAGCTTATAACATTATATTATTATTATTTATAACAAAAAAGTGACGTTTATATAATTATCTATGGTTGCTTCCAGTCGTAGACACTCGTTTTCGTAAATTGAGCAAGGTTAGTTCAGAATAGGCTAGTTTTCTCTCAATAATGAGAATATTATTCTCATTATTGAGAGATTCCGTTCTTTTTTATTGATTCTTATTGTAATAACAAAAAAATAAGATATTTCTACATCGTGGCCAATACCTCAATCAAATGAATTACGTTTTTAAAAGTGACTTTCACGAAAGCTTAAACCATAAAAGTATTTGCTTTTATTACCAGCTGTTGTTCGATACTACCTTTCACAATAAATTAAGTTCTTAATATTATTTAAGATCTAATACGGTTGGATGACGTAAGGGCTTAAAATAGGCAGAAGGTGCGGTAACCAATACCTACAATATACTGTGGGTATAAGCTGTAAACTTGTAAGATGTGTCAAATATTTCCTTTGGCTTTTCTGTAATCTGTGGGAATGGTTTTGAGAAAAAGGGGAGGAAGTACGTTACAGGAAGCCGGGGAATCGTACGCTAGTTGATGTGAATATATATTACAGCTGTCAATAAATATACTTTATACGTTAAAATTTAATGTATACTTAACTATGTTTTTTTTTTATTGGGACTAATCCCACCCACACGCCCACCACTGTAACTCCTGTACACCAGGATCCACAGCAGTGACCAACGAACACACCGAGTTATGACACTCGGGAAGTCCCAGGAAGAAATTAAACTGTCTTGGAACCCGCAACGAAATTAATCAGAAGAAAATTGGAGGAGTTGGAAATACAGTAAATCCACTTCCCTCCTTAGCAAAGCGGGAGACAAAATGAAGTAAAATAGGCATACACCCTTTTAAACAGGGAAGCACCACGGCCACAAAATATTACGGGTCCTACATGAGCTATATTTGATTTCTGTAATATGTATGGCAGAATCGCCTAAACGCACGGAAATTCACCCTAGTTGACACAAGATC